CGGCGCTGCCGCTCCTACCGCGCGGCCGCTCCTCCGTGTACAGGTCGATGACCAGGTCGCCCAGCGTGGTCTCCAGCAGCACCGCCATGGCCGCCCCGCGCCGCGCCGCGCTGGGCCGCCCCCTGGCGGCGCGGAGGGGGCGCCGGCGCCAACGCGTTTGACGGGCCCGTTAGCGCAACGCGCGCCCTGCGAGGCGCAGCCCGCGCCCCGCGCCCCGCGCCGCGTGTGCGAGCTCGTTGCCGGCCCGGACGTGCGGCCCCGTGCGAGCCGAGGCCGTTCTCGCCGCCGTTCCGCGGGGCCGGGACTCACGGAAGACAGCGCTGAGGCAAACGGCACTGAGCGCAGCTCAACACTGCCCGTCTAACAGAGGCAGTTTATTTACGTGCTACTTTGAGAACCTTGAGAAAAATGGCTTTGTGTGATCGCTATAAAAAGTAAGGAGCGCCACCACCTATTTAAGTCTGAAACGGCTAAAATACTGCACTTTCAGTGCGTACACAGCAGTTTAAGCCATTGTCAGTACCAAGTATTCCAAAACRTTACACATTTTAATGGCTACAAATGTCACCAAGTGAGAGGAAGGTGCCCTGGACAAGGGSGAACTTGGTCTTCGTGGTCTGTGCCGGCAGCGAGTGCTTGTTGAAGCGCTGGAGAACAGGCCWCTTGTGGAAGGCAGGGGGAAAATAATCAGAAGAACAGCAGTGGTGATAGGCAGGGGTTTGCCATTTGCATTAAACTAAAGCTGTTGTGACCATCTGCTGTGAGACAGTAGTGAAGACTTGGAAATTTTGGGGGAAAGGTGAGAATTGTTTAATAATTCTTGCATTTCAGTTAAGGTCTGGGAGATTAAAAAGAAAGGAACTGATGCCTGAAGAAAAGGAGGAGCATGAGATTAAGAACAAAAGGAAAGAATGGACCAAAGAAAAACGCAGAAGGAAAGCATTTCTTGCTAAGTAGTTTCCCAGGGAATGTACAGAGTGAGGCATTCACAGACATTCAGAAAGGAACAGGCGCTTGTCCATTCCATTTCTGTGGGAGGAATGCCTAAATTCCTTGATGTCAACTGACAGTGCAGTATTTATAAATTCAGCAAGTCGGAGACCCTTGTTTTCCTGCATTTTTATATACCCAACAGCATTATTTATCATGCTTCTCATACAGTTTGAAAACACTGTGGTATTGTAGCTTGCTCTGCGCACGTAGGCTTCGAGCGTCCTGCCGGGGCACCATCCGTGATCTCCGATCCCTGCACAGAGCGCAAGGCCGAGCAGGAATGTTTGCAATTCCAGTGTCCTCCCACCAGCATGTGCCGAGGACATCCAGTGGCGACAAGGGCTGCATTCTCCCAGCTGCCCCACTGGGGACACTGGCGTGGCCCTTGCGTGGCCCTTAGGGAACAGGCATCGTCGGGGAGCAGACCTGCTTCGTGAGGCTGCGCCAGGAACAGGCCCTCCACCAATTTCTTTTAATCTGCCATATACAGTGCATTTAAAAAATAAAAATAAAAATAAAAAGGCTCTTGGACAGCTCTAAGAGAAACAAAATGATGTTGGGGAAGGCAGTGGAATTTAAAATGCCTGTTTTTTTATTTCTTCACCACTGCTGACTTGTGTATGACTAAGGACAAATCACTTAGCTAAACTATATGCAGTGTTTTTTAATCTCTAAAAGAAGTACTAATGATTGATAATATCTAGTGATAAAATATATGAGGTTTTCATTTTAGAAAGCAATTCATTTGGAGATTACCCCCACTTGTCTCCCCGCCCCAACATGAATAGCCCAGAGAGTTCTATTTCCAGGGCTGAAATATTCCAGGTATTTTCTCACTYTCTGAGGCATCGTTTCCCAGGGCCTTCTGGCTTGTGCCACATGTTTAGACCAGTGTCTCCTGAATGCACAGAGCGAATGAAATATTAACTTTCATGCTTTATGTACACTGTCACACATGGTTTTATACGTGGTTTTAGCACTGGCACAGGCTGCCCAGAGAGGCTGTGGAGTCTCCTTCTCTGGAGATCTTTAAAACCTGCTTGGACACAGCCCTGTGCCACATGCTCTAGATGACCCTGTGTGTGCAGGGGGGTTGGACTAAATGATCCCTAAAGGTCCYTTGCAACCTTCAGGGTTCTGTGATTCTGTACTATTAGCAAGGTGTGAGTCCCTGAACAAGATAAAACTGAGCTGCAGGTTGCTTGGATGGTGCAGGTAGTTCATTGCCCTGTCCTGGTGCTATTACGAGCTCCCTAGGCAAACTGCTAACAGGTTTGCCGTCCCTACCGTTACCTTTTTGGTTCTGTTTTGTGAACACAGACCTCAGCCTTTCTTGCTGCGTAAAGAAAGCTCTATTTATCTTCATAGCTAGCGAGGACCCAGAGAACCGGGTTGCTTCCTTTTTACCGGAGCCTGTGTGTGTTTTTGACTGCTGTTCCTGAGTTTCCCTCGGTTTTCTCAGGACGGAGCTCCTGCTGTTCCCCTCCTGCCTCCCTTCATTGGCGGCTCCCGGTGCCGCCTGCGGCCGTCCCGCCGCTTGCCCCGCTCCAGGATGCCCGGGGAGCCGCCAATCCGGCCAGTTCTTTCMCACCGAAAATAAGTAAAAATAAATAATAAACAGCCACGGAGCCGCCCGGCTCCCGCCCGCTCCGCTCGCTTCCTCCCGCGCCGCGCGGGCCCCGCCTCTTGTCGCCGCGGCCGCTCGTTGATGTTTCACTTTGTTTTAATTCCCGGCTCGCAAGATGGAGGCGGCGCTGGGGCCGCCGCCGCTGCTGCTGCTGCTGCCGCCCCTCGCCGCGGGGCTGCTGGGCCCGGCCGCGCCGCGCCCGCTCGGACAGGTACCGGCGCGGGCAGGGGCGGCGGCGCGCGCCCCGCGCCGCCGTTGCGGCCGTTGGAGGGGCGAGGCGCGCGCTTCCGGGGTGGCGCAGAGCGGGGCACCGAGGGTCCTTTCCCAGCCCCAGCGCGCGGGGACAGCGACGGGGCCGTCGCCTCTGCCCGCGTCCTGCCGCCGCTCTGCAGGGCAGGGCGCGCAGAAACGGCACGAAACGTCCCGAAACGTCCCGAAACGTCCCACCTGCTCGGCCGCCACGGGCAGCCCGCGGCGCGCGGTGCTGCCGCCGCCTCCCGCAGCGGTTCGCTGGAGGATTGGGTGCCCCGAAATGCCTGTGTCACCGGGGCAGAGCGGGGAAAGGAGTTGTTCCGATGCTGAGCTCACGTGGGCGTTTGGGCGCTATATTTTATACCTGTTGTGTCTCTCCGCTTCGTGGTGGTCGTGTGCTATAGGAGCAATGTGCAGTGTGTTAAATCCCCGTCTGCTCCTGGTGAATCTCTGAGAGAATAAAACGACGAGGTGTGACGGCCGTGAGCTCCGACCTCCCAAATCGCAGAAGGGAGCTGCCTGCTTCTTGGACCTGCGCTTAAACCGCGACTAACGCACCCTCTGGTTAATCCCCTCACGGCTAGTGGTGGCCTCCCAAGTGTGAGCGCCCAGGGCGCCCTGTCGGGCTGCAGTCACCTGTCCAGCGAGGGCAACATTTCGGTTGTGCAGCTGATTTTGTGATGTCTCTCTCTTGGAAGTTTTTTAAGGAAAACATTTCCAAGAAAGGCTGCCACAGGCCCTGTGCTGCAAAGGATTTCTGGGCTTACTTCCTGGTTTCGGCTTCTCTCTAAGGATGGTTGAAGAGAGCTGGGCTTAGCACCAGGAACTGTGCTGTCAAAATGGGGATCTAGGTCCCCATTTGAGTACCCACAGAAGTACGTCTGTAGTCAGGCCTATAGGTACAAGAGGGCAGAGAAAGCTGCGTGCAGGTGCTCCGCTTACCCCTTCTGAGAGAGGGAATGTTATCTTGAACTCGCCGAGGAGAGGCACACAGTAACACTGCACGGCAAATCCCTACCCTTGCCACCTTGCCGCCCCACGTCAGCGTTACCGCGTTGGGGTCTTAGTGTGGAGGCTGCCCCAGCTCTGTGGGACGTGGTGACACGTCTGCCCATGGGCTCTGGCTGTGGGTCTGAGGGTGCAAGTGAGCGTGCCTGGGGTGGGTGGGCGAGTAAGGTGGCCCGCGAGCACCCTCTGCACGTAGCCACGCTCTTTAGGGATTTGAGATCATCCAGGAACACCTGCTATCGGATGCTTTCTTGCTAGTCTGGGAGTCTCTGCACCTGTTGGCTGTATAGTGTCATAGATAGGAGAGCATCAGTGCATGGGTGATGCACAGAAAAGGGCWCGAGTCAAAAAGAGAACATATGGCTTTAGTGCCCTCTTTTTTTTCTTCTTTTTAATCTCAAACCCAARTTATGTTTCCTCCAGTACTCCTTGTAGTACCTTCAGGATCATTTTCGACGTGGAAGGAAGAGCAAGAGGACTTACTCGTGTGTGAACGTGAGCCCAGCAGTGGTGGCCTGGTAGGAAGGGCAGGGCCCGGGCAGCGGGATGGGCAGCGCGGGAGCAGGTCCGTGCTGCGGAGGCTGCTCCCGGAGCCACGAGCGGGATCTGCGTGGCCGCCCCTCGGGCCGGCAGCCAGGCTGGCACTGCCGGCTCCTAGGGCACTCCGGCATTAGCCTTGCTGTGACCACCTCCGGCGATGGGGGGTAGCGTAGCGCCGGCCGGCTCCTGCTGATAGCCTCACATCTTACAGCCCTGGTGTGGGGCGTTAAGGTCTCCCCCCAGGCTAAAGGCCGTGGCGGTGCTGAGAAGCTGCAGCACAAGGACTGGGACAAACCTTGAAGCACTGGAACAGCGTGTGCACGGTTTTGTAAGGCTGAAACGGCRCTCTCCGGCGCTGGAATGCGCCCGCCTCGTTGTTGTGCAATGCTTGCCCTTTCTTAAATAAGCCCTTTGGAAATCTGGGWTTTTTTCTTTTTTCTTAGGCATTAGGATGTGTACTTTTGTTTTTCTTTCTCCTTGTGAAATCTGGATGCGTAAAACTAGGTTACAGATTCATTAATATTAACAGTTAAAAAAAAATACGGAATGATGCAACGAGGGAGCTGAACTTCACATCAACATATTTTTCAGATACTGGATCAGGAGTTAGCTTTTGTTTTTAGACCATTTTTCAGTGCGTGCTGATAGGCTAAAAGAACAGCTGGTTGAGTGCTGTGAAGTTTGTTTACTCTGTTTGCCTCTTGATAACACAGGTTCWGCTGTTCTCTTTGTAAAAGGTTTGCTCACCTGCAAGACTTCTTTGTGGTTTAGTTACCTGGAAAACATTGTTTTCAGATTATTTATTTGTTGGCAGCAAGAAACCTTTGTGTAGACTTCAACAGAAAATGTATATAGCCTTCACTAGCTAAATACATATTCAGTGGGTGCAACGCCTTTTAATCAGAAAAGAAACTTGCTAATAGTGACCTGATGTCTGTTGTTTCTTTCATAGCTTTATTCCAGTTTCTCTGTCATCTTTCCATGTATATTTGATTAAATGAAAGCAGTGTGATGTAACCCTCTCCTGTTATTGTGAGACTAAGTATTTGTCTTTAAGGCTCCGATAAAATATTCATAATATGAGAAGATTTAATAGAGAGAAAGCATAGGTAATTTATTCTAGCAGCATACCTAAGGCAAAGGAAAGGATRAGCAATATTTTATTGAGAATCATTGGAAGAGAGGACGGAATATCAGTATGCTTGCTCAGGAAACAAAAGTGAAGCAAAAGCAGCTCATGTTGGATTCACGTATATGCATACAAGGCTAGTTTGGCTTTACAGAATCACAGGATAGTCGAGGTTGGAAGGGACCCCTAGAGAYCATCTAGTCCAACCCCCTGCTCCAGCAGGGACACCCAGAGCACGGGGCACAGGGCGGCATCCAGGCGGGTTTGGAAGCCCTCCAGAGAAGGAGACTCCACARCCTCCCTTGTTCCAGGGCTTTAGTTGCTTAAGCCAAGGCTGCCAGGCAAGGCCAGCCCTCACGAGGGAAGATTTTGGACTAAACATCTGTGAAGTGCGAGGGACGGCGCTGCAGACCTGTCGAGGATGCTGCCACGGTTATTGCTTGATGCAGTTGCACTGACTACAGTTAGGGCTCATCCTACAGCTCGGCTGTTGTAGGATTTCCATTTCCAATCTGGCTAAAGACTTTGAGGGGCAGAGGTCCCCATCCTAGACCCTTTGAGGTTGTACTGCCCCACCTACACTCCTAGGTCTCCCTGTAGCACATGGTGAAAGAGATCAGAAAAYGTTCATCATTTGCAACTTTTAACTGATTCAGCCTCACAGAAATCATCGGCTAACAAATAAAATCAGGCACTCACRGGAATTCTGGGGTGTTTATTGCTGTGCTGTTGCTGTGCTGCCCGAACTCCCCCAGAGCAGAAGGTGGTGGAAGTGCTGTCCTCGTTGCAGGCACAGCATTGTTGGAGTTCTAGGACAATGATGGGAAAACTTAGGAAAGTTCAGGAGAAAAATCTACGTCCCTGGAGAGCGCCAGGAATTATGGGGCCATTTTTAGTGTATCTTCATAGATTCAAGACACAGTAAATTACAAGACTGCATGAAATTTAGATGAACCTGCTGTTAATGCTCAAAAGTGTCTTGTAAGCTGCAAAGAGAAAGCTTTATACTCTTAGTTTAGGCTTCTCCAGAACTTGGCAACATGATATTATGGATTAGGCTGTAGGTCCAAAGTCTGGCTCCCAGTGGCTTCATTACAACAGGCTTAACCTTTTTTTTTTTTTTTTTGGTAATATATACAAAATAAATCATGTGCGGTTTCTTATTTACTTTTCTTAGCACTGGAGCACATGCCTGCAAGATGTATCTGTAAAGCAAATCTGTTTTATTTTCTAAGTAGGGATTTTTACTATGGTACCAAAGAAGTATTCCCTCTGTTGAAATGAAAGGGTATTTCCTAAGACTGCGAGTCTTGACGTCTGGACGGTTAGATGGAGGTGGCTCCTTCCGTGTGCTTGAGTTCAGACTGGAGCTCTGACAGGGCTGGTTCTCCGTTCTGGCCTCCCAGGAGGACAGCGGGGTACCAAACGTGCCAGGCTACCTGGTTTAACAAGCAGTAGCAGCGCTTAGGGGAGCCCCGAGGGAGCGCTGGTGTGTGTATCCTGACAGCAGATCCTGTCAGGAATGACGGATGCAGTGGGGGCTGGCTCTGGACAGGGGGAAGGGCTGGGGGATACACTGGGGTCCTTTCCAGCCCAGTGCTTTCATGGCTCCTTGAGATGTTTTTAGACCAGTCTAAGCGGAGCCAGAACAACGTAAACTCAGCAGCAGCAGGACTTGGGGATCTGGTTGGAGTGTTTCTTAGCAAGGCTGGCCATGGTCGAGCGGGACCAGTAGTGAAGAGTCAGCACAGGGACATGTGGCTGACGGGGAGCAAATGTTTCTAGCGTGACAAGTCCAGACCTGGCACCGTGGCAGCGCAGGAGACGGGACTGCACCGGTTGAAGAATTTGTCGGATGTGAATGTGAAGGAAGTGCGGGAACAGGAGCGGCAAGCACCTGAGCTGTGCGAGCAGAGCCGAGCGGGGCTGCCTGGGGAGCGGGGCGGCCCGGAGCTGCCGCCTCCCCTGGGTGCTGGCCCGGCAGGATCGGGTCGGACGCGGCACCACGGCAGCTCGGGGCTGCCGGGAGCAGAGCCGCTGGCGGCTGCACCTCCGCATCCCGGCCCCGCTGCTCGCCCGGCTCCTCTCCGCCCTGAGCTGGTGGGAGAAGAGCCCGGCACTAACGGGAATGGCTTCCTGCCAGTGCAATGAGCTCAGTGACTCACGGGCTGCTGGCACACGGAGAKGGAAGGAGGGTGCGCGGAGAGGAGGAACCATCCTGCTTCGCTCGGGGCCGGAGCAGCAAAGGGCCGCYTCACATCAGCTGCCCTCTTGCCTTGGCCCCTCTGCTCTGGGACCTGCACAGCACGGAGGTGATCCCCAAAGTGATTCAATTTCTTAGACACCTAATACGCGCTTCAAGTGCAAGTTAMGTGTGTACCTATGTGCTTTTGCACACTAAGTCGTAACAGAATCRAAAGCTGTCTTATAAAATCACATRTACTTCAGTTTTTACATGGAATGCKCAATACTAAGCAAAGCAGTTTTCCCCATGTCCTTCATTTTCAAGTTATAAAAAAAATGTTGGGAGAATTATCTTTCTTTTCACTAGATGCTGGCTATCAGTCATTTCCTTTTCTCTCATGTTTTTATTGAGGCCTTTCAGAGATGTTGAAAAAGAATGCGAAATGTTTTTTGCATAAAGGAGCTCAAATTTCATTTGAAGCTCAAAAACTGAAAGAAAACTGCCTGGAAAATCTGTCCTGGAGGCCCTTTGATTTCTCACTTGATAGAAAAAACTAGGAAGTCATGACACACATATTTAGTAATCTGTTATGCAATGTGGGGCTGTAGGAGAAGTAAAACTCTGGATGCTAGATAAAGAGGAGGGTTTTTTTTTTAATACATAGCATTCTTAAAATGGGAGAAGAAAATATTTGGTTGGAAGAAATTACAGATAGCAGAATGGATTGCATCCTCTGATCTTTCTACTAATTCGATGTGTATTTTCATTAAATAGATTTCCAGTTATCTTACTTAACTGATAATGTTMTTTTACTGTGAATGGCTGGGATGTGAGTTTGGGGGAAAAGTCAGTAATCTGGTAATTTTCTTTTACTCATTTCCTGGAAAAATCCTTGAGAAGAGATTTGCCTTTACAGTCTCAATGGGAGACTGAAGTGCCTCCATGCCCCTCCGAATCTCTGAGAGTTTTCCAGGTGACTTGACGTGTGTAGCTGAAACATCAATGATGAGTCATTGCCAACTGTCTGTTCGGGGTTTAAACGGCATTTTAAACCAAGCTGAGGCCKGATTCCTACTGCAGCAGATTTAAATGTTGCTTTTGAGTTTGTGGTAGTCCTGCCTAAACTAGTACTAATTAAATCAGTGCCAATTGTTGTTAGGATTTTTTTTCATATTGCAGGTGTGCTTCCAAACTCTGCTCCTTAAATGTGGCTGCTTGTGTTGGGGACTCTCTTCTTCAAGTATTTTCTTCCTCAAAGAATTTAGTGTTTTCTAAAAATGCGATTTCCCGAATGTTAGAGTGGGAATGGGATTTGCTTGTGCGCTTTTTTTCTTGATCTGTTCCTAAAATCTGAGCAAATTCAACTTTCTACAAAGACTGGCTTAATTTTCTAGCCACTAGGCAACAGAAGTAGAGCCGAAGAAGATGCTGGAAGTGTGGAGAGCAGGAGCTCTCCAGGACCATGCTGGGAATGCGGCTGGGATCCACRGAGGCTGCCAGGAGGGGAGCCGGCCTTTCCGCGCAGCAGGGAGGCTCCCGGGGCCTTGGTCAGGGGCCACTTCGGGAAACTAAAGGGCCCCTCTGCAAAAGAGCCCCTGAAATTAGGAGGATGAAGCAGGAGGACAAAAGGAAGTCCGAGCTCGGACATCCATGGAGGAAACAATAAATTACAGCAATTAGGGGTTGAAAAAAGGCAGTAAATGCCAGTTAGCTGTGGCTCTGGAGGGGCCTTGTGTGCCATAATTTGGGAATGATAACCAAAGAATCAAGATTCCTGCTGAGAATGAAAAAACTGAGTGTTGCTTTAGGGTAGGCTGACATTATATCTTAGGTCTTCCAAGCGAAATGTAATTTAAGTGGAACACAGCACATTTTTTCAAACTTTTTAACCAATTTTATGCTTTTCAGTGGTAGAGAATCTGATGTCACCTGGTGTAAAGTCTGTTCTGTTTCAGCTAWTATGAGAGACTGTTTCTGTTACATCCCCATGTAGCATTTTCATGAGYATTTTGCTTTATTTCTATCTTTTAGCTTTAATTTTACTAAAAAAAAAAAAGAGATTTTGCTTAAAAGGAAGCTGCAATCATTCTTTCTCATCCATTTTATTAAAAAAAGAGGGAAAAAGCCCTTGTGTGGAAGAGGTTAGTGGTTTGCTGGATCGTGTGGGCATGAGCTGGCTTGCCCTACGCGCTCTCCCTGTCAGTGCAGAGGCCGGGGCTGCTCGTGGCTTGCAGTGGTGTAAGCCCTTTTCTTACCAAGCTTTCCCTCTCTCTCCATTGCTGTTTTCCAGGAAACAATCAGAGTCAATGTTTTGATGTTAAAAACCGGCGGAGAATTTTCCAAAGGACAGGTTAGTCGAGTCTTTCTGTTTATTCTGAGTTGATATGCAGTGAAACAAGCTCTGCCTGTGGATGAGAGTACGTTATTTTGTGGGACTTCAGTCAGCATTAAGAGTGTTCCTCTGCAAACAGAATTGCAGCACAGGGGCATAGGAACCATTCCTTCCTTCCTTGAATCATTCATTCATTCTGTCCRTCTGTCTTCCAGGTTGTTTTTAACATCACCTATGTTAATGGCCAGGTGTATCTAAATGATTTCCCAATGAAGAGCGGCGTTACCCACATAACGTGCCACACAATGATCTGTGAGTATTCCTCAGTTTTGCTTTGTGTGCAATTCGTTTCCCTGTTATCCAGCAGCCAAATATGACAGTGACTACGTGGCCTCATACTCTCAGAAACTGAACATTGTAGAAGCAAATCATTTCCCAAATTGGGAAAAGTTGCAACTAAAATGGGGACAAAACGCATTTAAGAACCGCCTTGTTCTTAAGCATGTTCACATGCCTGGATGTACTTGATCTGCCCGGAAAGGCAGGCTCTGCCTGGCTTTTCAGAGGAATGTTTTAGGCTACAAGCTGGGCAGGGTGAACAGAAGGATGCAGCTCCACCCTGCTAATGGCTCTCTCCCGAGGTGCTTGGCTTATATCCAGGAAGTCTCAGCAGCTCCCATAGGAGTTGCTGTTAGGAGGATCTTCTAATTATCTCCTTTCTGTGTTTACTGGGACAGGTTTCTCCTGGATAGGCTGCTAGGGCACCAGTACTTCAGTTGCTGGGATTCTCTAATGGTCGATGAGCTGTCAGGATTTTGCAACTGCATTTTATCCACTGCTTCAATGGTGCATGTCTTCTGAAGGACCATGGAGCGCTGCAGTTTTGGAGACACACAGAGCAGGCCATGTAGTTAATTAAACAGGGGCTGTTACACTCTTTTGATTTAAGCTTTTGCTGTATTCGGAAGGATCTCTTGATGGGTCAGTCCCAGGCTTGGTGTCGGAGATCATCCTCTCTCCCATCAGAGGCCCACTTAGGAAGTACTAATGCCTTTTAAAAATACTCTGTGAGCTTGTCTCCGGGATGCTTCTCTCCAGAGCAGGAGCAATCCATTAGGAGCTGGACACTATTTCCTTGCTGGGGTGGGAGGACAGTCAGTTGTTTCTGTTTGTCTGGGACAGTTACACTTCTAGTGTCCCAATCTTTCTTTTTTTTTCACCTTTTCCACTTCTGGGTGGAAAACATGGTAAAATGTCATTTCCCTGCAAGGTAACTGGCTCCAGGAAAAGTGATAGGATTTTACTGACCAATTCTGAGGAATGCTGAGCACTCTCTACCGTTGCTCCTGGGAGGTTCCCAAAYGGCACGTGTGTCACTGGCAGTGCCTACAGTTACGAATGTCAGTCTGAAACAATGAGGGAACCAAATGTGGGAGGGGGAACCTGGAATCCCCTCTCTCTGCTCCTCYGACTGGGACTTCGCTGGCACCTCCAAAAGGACGTGGGTGCTATTTATGGGGACCTCACGGTAGATTCAGGTAACGCTTGTGAGCTGCTGCGTGAGCGTGGGGATGGCCGTGGCCTGGTCCCCTCCACCGGAGACCCGGCGTCCTCGCCGTGGCAGGGGGAGCCTCTCCAGCRCCCGCCCAACGCGGAGCTGAGGACGTCGGGAAAAGCAGGAAAGATGCAGCGAGTCTGGGCAGACACGGAGACGGCGCCAGGGCCRCCCGCTCTGTGCTTGCGGGGAGGCTCGGGCTGGGAAGGGAGCCTGAGGGGCAGCGGAGGAGACATGTGTGAGGGAATTGTCGCTCCCAGCGTGACATCCCCGCGGAAAAGAGCGGTCAGTGTCAGAGCCCAGAGCAGCAGGTTTGTTTAAACTCCCTTGGAGGAAAACGTGATTCGGGCTAAGCAGACACCTCGGGCCGATCAGCGTGGGCGGCGCAGGACCTGGTCTCGGGCAGTGGGAGGCTGAAAGCTGCTCCGGGACCGAGGGCGCTAGCGCGGGCGGCCGGCGGCGCCGCCCTCGCCAGGACGAAGCCGCCCCGGCGGCTCGAGTGCCTCTGCGGTGGGGCGGGTGCCCTGGGCCGGCGCAGCCGCCCCCACGCTGCCCTCGGCTCGTGCAGCTCCCGGGACAACCCCGGTGCCGCTGGAGCCGAGGCGGCCGCGCTGCTCCCGCTCGCGGCCCCCTTCCCTCCGGAGGGCTCCTGGCAAACACTGCGGCCGGGTGCCCGAGGGAGGGCCTGTTGTGCCCCACGGTGCGTCGGGATGGGGCCTTTCCCCCTTCAAACCTGCGGCTTCCCTGTTGGCAGTGGAGGACGCGGAGAAGCCGCTGCAAGGGCAGCGCTTGGGCACGGTGGGCGCCCGCATCATGGTGCACGAGTGGCCGCTGGCGTCCAGCTCAGACCTGAAGCTCGTCGTCATCCAGGAAGAAGTGACGGAAATTGATGGGAAACAGGTAAAAAATAACACTCGGCTTCTCGTGGATTTAGGAGAGGCTTCCAGCTCCCAAAGAGTAAAACTTTTCCGTGCCTCAGTGGGTGGTGAGAGCACAGTCTATATAATGCAGCTGCCCACTGCTCCTCAGCTTGGCTCCTCCACCTTCACTGTCCGCTGCGCTCCTGGTCCGTCCTCGCAATCCCGAGCTGCAGCTACAACCCTCATCGCTTGTGCTCCCGATTCCTGTTAGTTCCTGGCCTCACGGAGCACTTGCTGCTTTTAGTTGTGCTGAATGTTTCCTGCATAAGCTCTGCTTGCAGTGATTATTAAATGAAGAGGGTCTAATGCACCACGTGAAAGAGGAGGAGGACACTGGCAAGYTGCCTGTTCTAAATAACAGGAGAAAGGAAACAAGCTAAAAGCCACRAAACCAGATGCGACAGTGAGTGATCCCAGTAGAATTTTTCTGGGTATGTTGAAAATAGCAACATTGCTACCAAAGCAGAAGTATTAGTCTTGTCTCAGCAACACACTAAACATTTGCACATGCCCTTTTCCTCTGTGCTTATTACTGGCCTCCCTGGAGAGGACCTCCCTGATCACAATGACCGAGTGCAGGAAGGAGGTGGGGAGAGAGACCCAGTCTGTTGGGTGCACATCCTCACGTGATAAGACTGCAGGAATCCGTGAAGAAGAAAAATGAAATAGTACATTCCTGTTGGCAGTGTCTGTAGGTCTGTACATTTTGATGGCTTGGCAGGGTCCGTGCTGTGCTGCTTCCCTGTGCCAGCCTCTCTTGCTTTAATTCCACTCAGCCCTATCAACCTGCTTGCATCTCCCGCAGGTTCAGCAGGAAGAAGTAACTGAAATAAATATTTTAGTGAAGGACACGAGAGTCCTTCGGCACTCGAGCTACACGGTTCCTCTGAAGGAGAGCATGCTCTACTCCATGCCCAGGGCCAGCGACACCGTGTTCACGTTCCCCAACCCCGCAGGAAAAGGTCTGTCTCTTAGTGTTACGTTGTGGTTTTAACCATAGGTCACATAGTGCTTTGTAAGGGCAAGAGGATGTTGTTATTCTCATGGCACGCATAGGATAACCACTTCTTCACGAGCAGGAATGTATTTGCTATACCTCAGGTCCATTCTTATACTTTGTCTTTTATAATTTGTCTTGTTCTGGTTTCAAATCTCTTCCCCTGTGAAGTACCTCTATGATGCCTCTAACCATGCAACCCAGATGTCTCAGGTGAATAATCGCCCTCTCAGTGCCATGGTGGAAGTTTCTCTAAAGAGAAATTYCCTTTTTCTGAATGGGAAAATTAGAGAGGAAATACCCATCTGGGTCATTTCCAAGCCAGAGAACAGTCTTACATTGTTAAACCTCGATACTTTAGAAGCATGCGAAGTTATTTGATGCCATTTGTTAATCAAAAATCCTCAAGGGTTTCATAGCAGATGGCTCTTTTGCTGCCCATCTGCACAGAAAAAGTTCCTCGCTTTTTATCAGATGACAGCTGAAATCCACGACTAAAGGCACAGCTGACGTCTGCACCGCAGCTCTGCTCCTGCCTCTCGAGGAGTTTATTTCACTGAGGGCAAATGGAAACGGCAGCCTCTGTACTCTCACTGTCACCTTGTGATAACTCTGCCATAAATACAGAAATGCAGCATTTCTCTATTGCTTTGTTTCYACTTTGCACTGTCATTTGTTGAATTATCATGTCTAGCGAGCCAAATGAAAAGAGAAAGTAAACGTAGCTTATATTTTTTCTGCAGATATTCAAGACCCCCTGCAAACCACCAGCCAGTACCTTATCCCGCAAGCAGAAACGACAGCAGATGAGGAGACTTTACCTGGGAAGTTACCAGAGACCCCTCTTCGGATGGAGCCTCCATCTTCTTATAAGGTAGTTTTGTTTCGGTCTATTTTTGTGGATGTAGCCTTAAAGACTTGCTTAAAAATGAGAAGCTTTCATTCCTATTTTTTCACACTCCTAGGGATGAAACTGTATACGACTTAGGGATGTTTCGAGGAGGAAAAGTTACAGGAAAATGCTGTTGAGAAAAAATGTAAAGCAAAATTACAGTTTCTTCCTACTGTTCCTGGTATTGTCCACAAAAAATAAGCACAAATACTAGATTTCCCCCTTTGTGGATGCTTGCAGACAAAACAAACAGAAACAGCATTGTTAAGATGCAGATGGTAGGTTTTCCTGATGGAAAGACCAAACACAATATCCACTCAAAATGGTAAAAATGCAAATAACATTCCTAGCACTTCATCATGGGGGCTTTACCATTAATTTAAAAAGCAACATAGCACATTATAGCTTATTCCTCAAAAAGAGCATTTCCATTCGTACTTAACCTACAGTTGTGACTTCTCAGGCTTTCTATTTGATAAAGCCCAGGAATTTTTTCACTGTGTTAGGATAACTCACAGGGACTAAATTCTGCAGAAGCCTAAGAAATCCCTGCAGTGCATCATTAAGAAGGACAAACTTCAAAGGAGTCCCAGACTCCAGTGAAAAAAATACGTTGGAGTCATCAGTGAATCCAACCCTATGTTATATCTATGTGCATCTACACCTATACATCCATAAGTCAATCTGCTGCCCCGTACCATGGTTCCYCAGTAGCTGCCAAAGCGGTGCTTGCTGTGGTTTTCAGCCTGTCTTGGTTTCTTTCCCCTTTGGTTGTAGGTGATGTGCCAGTGGGTGGAGGACTTCAGAAAAGGCCTGTGCAGATTCTGGTTTCGCTCCTTCCCCCTCTTCTTTAATTTGATGGAGGTCATCGTGGTCGGAGTTGTTGGCGCGACTCTCATCCTGAAAGTCTTAAAGGTCATTTTCCCTTCGTGTGAACACAAGTGAGTGACTCGTGCTGCTTTTTTAATTTGTCCTGTGTCCTCATGCCACCTCCCAGAGCACGTGGGCAGCCGTGAGTACTTTTGGTAACCGTCTTGCTAGAGTAGAAGTGGAGAACCAGCTTGTAGCAGCTGCCCTGCCACAACAGCAAGTCGCTTAGGACCTGCCCTGTGGGAGCCTCCAAAGGGGGCAGAACAAGGCAAGGAAGCCCAGGGCGGATGATCCAGGTGTTGAGCAGTGGCTGACGGAAGCTGCCCCTGGCAGAGGTCAGTGCTGAGGATGGGACCCGGCTGCAGGAATCTCTCCCCTATTCAGAGGGTAGGTGGCTCGTTCAAGCTTTCCAAGAGAYGGCAGTGCTTCAGCAATGGTTCTTTTCTATATTTCCTCGGCTCTCGTTCTGCCTGCTCGCTAAAGCGGTCCTATGTGGCAAAGCAGTCTAAGGGGTGAGGGCTGAATTCTTCATTTTACACTGATGGGAGTAAGCAGAGGGTCCCATGGGGCAGGGGACCTGCTCTCCCCCAAAAGTGCGGCCCTCATTCCAGCTCTGAATGCAGAGCTCGGTCACAACAGAGCTCAAAACAGAGGCTTGAGCTTGTTTCAGAAAATAGCATAAGAGCCTGTCAGAACAGTTCTCAAGGTAGGAAATTTTACGCTGCTCTGACATTGAGCACAGAGCCAACACAACTGGCATTTTAGAAAGCGGTCAAAGGACCTGCCTGAAGCTACAGCTAATACGTGTTGGAACCAGTTTTCCCTCAGGTTTTCATGAAATAAGTATCACCAGGGTTAATACTTCAAAAGTATTTAAAAAAAAAACAGGGTTTTTTTAAGAAGAAATTGTATTTTCAGAACAAATGGTAGCGTAGCTCGCTATATTGCTTACCCCATCTCATCTTCTGTTTCAGAGGCATCCTCCTCCTTCCTCAGGACAGCTTTGTACCTGTGATTGCCATCAGTCTGCCTGCAGAGGCCCCCGACAGGAAAGACAACGTAGAGGAGAAAGCCTGCACTTAATGCTCTCTTACTGGGGACGGGTTGGGATTTTTCTTTTATTTTTTTTTCCCCCTTATGAATTTTTAAGTTGATTGAAATTTGGCACTTGATTTTAACATGTTGTTTGTTTCCTGCTAAGAAAACTAAGCTATTTGATATGTTGGTAACGGGGCAGGGAGGCTGAGGCCCTTTCGAGTGCCTCAGGTTTAGCTGGTTCGCGCCCAGAGGGCCACAGCTTGGTTTAACTTCTGTGAAGTCAGCGCCCGGCGGCTCGGACAGGCTGCAGCGGCCTCTGCACCCACAGCCCCAACCGCTCGGCTGCCTGAAGCAGCGAGAGGAGATTCAGGGTGTCCTGAAGCCTTGAAACAACCTGTGGTGGCGTCGGGAGCCGCACGAGCGCCTGCGAGCCCCAGCGGGGCCGCCGGGCCGGTTTCAGGGGCTGCCGGGCCAAGCCGGCCTTGCCAGGAGGCCACCGCTTCCAAACCGCTTCCAAACGTGGCTAAAGAACTTGACACGCACAGGCTTCAAATTCAGTTCTAGATCTCAAGCACTTTATACCAGAACTTGCTTTTACGAACCCTTACTCTCATAGAAATTGTTAGCCCTTGCCCTGGGCTCACTTGCCAGGAGCTTTCCCTGTCCAGGACAGCAGGACTCTGCTACGTCTCTAAACCAAAAAACTAGTTCCACGAAAGCACTGGTTTGCTCTGGCTGAACAGGCCCAGTTTCCCATACTGATTTGTATTGTTAATGGTTTTCAAATAAATATTTGAATTATTACACTCTGTTCGTGTGTGTGTATATATATCTATGTGCCAAGAACAGCARTTTACAGAACACATTAGTTCCTTGGTGCGGGTTCTTTTGCTGTTCTTCATTAAAAAAAAAAAAGTTTGTCAGAGGATTGAGGACTATAAAAAACAACAGAAGGAAACCTGCCTACCCGGCCTTTGACTGAGCACAGCTGAGCACCCAGGAGTGCTCAGACTGTCCCTAATTGCTGAAATTGTTAAGGTGAGGGGGAAAACAATTTTTAAAATTTATTCTTATTTTTACATTATTCTTCTTATTATACCTACGCAGGTATAATACGCACCTACGCAGAAGACACTAGTGACCTTCCTCAAACTTCTGTCCGTTGTTTTGTTCTTTCCACCCATCCTCATTCCTCTGGGATTTGTACTTGGCACTCAGTTCCCCCTGCGGAGCAGGAGCAGCGGTGCCGATGGTGCCGACGGTGCCAACGTCCTGGGCAGTGCCTGGTGGGACGCTGCCCTGAGGGCGCCGCCGCAGGGACCAGCCAGCAACTCAAGCAATGAGGGAGGCTGAAGCTGTGGAGGCCTTTGGACTGGGAATGCAGCCATGGGAAGGGAAAGACGAGCCATGGAGAGGTGGCTGCACTGGAAACCACTAGGGGCTCCACAAGAAGGCCCACTCAAGGCTGCCGGGCACGAGGAAGAGCTGGAGCAGGAGCCGGTGCCCATGCAGAGCTCCTGCCCTGCTAGAACAGGGGCTGGTTTTTCTGCTTTCTGAACGTCACCCTAACTGCTTCATTGGTGTTGCTTAAATAGAGCAACACACTGTGCAATACAGGAATTTCTTAGAGCACAAGGGGGGCAAACGCTCCCGGCCACACAGACCTGCTGGGKCCTGAACACAGACGCTGCGCGGCTGTGAGCGTGTGCCCCGCTCGCGCCACGAGCCCGCCCAGCCCCACGGAGCTGCTCCTTCAGCTGCAGCGCAGCTGCTCCGCGGGGCTAAGGGCTGCGAAAGCATCGGCGCTGCTTCGCCACGCGGCCGTTTCCATGAGTTACATTGTCCTCCTCTTATCCCTGCGTTGGATTCTACAAAAATGACAGAGCGCAAGGAAAGGAATATTACCTTTGGCTCAAAGAAATCTGGTAAGATATATATGCGTGTGTGTATATATATATATATTTATAAATATACATACAGCAAGTCTTGGTCAGGAGCAGAGCACCCGGCAGAGAAAACAGGGCAGTGCYGCGGCGCTGGAGCCAGGCACTGAGGTGAGGCCGCACGCGCTCGGCCCGTTCTGCTCACACAGGCGACATTCCCCAGGGCAGGAACGTCTCCCACTTCCCAGAGCAGAGCRCTCGTTCCAGCAGGGACACTCGCAGCTGTCCCATTTCACGGGTCACACCTGCACTCTGAAACAGCCTTTCACTGGAGCACTTCTGAGGACTACGCCCTGTGGACTTGGCTTTTTTAAGCAGGTTTTAGATTCAATTTTTTTGTTAGCTTGCATTTATGCGATTATGAGAAGAAATTCCACCTTGCAACCAAACCACTCAGGCTAACAGACAAGCGTTAAGTATCTTTTTAAGAGAACCTGCTCCTGCAAAACGCAGCATCTGCTCCTGAATCCCGACACTTAACTCTGTCCTCTTGAATAGACACGGCAGAAGTTAATTCATTCCCTCCTTTGGGGATCCGAGTCTCTGCACTTACCTGAAAGCTCAGGCCAACTCACCTGCTCTTCCTTCCTTCCTTCCTTCCTTCCTTCCTTCCTTCCTTCCTTCTTTCCTTCCTTCCTTCCCGGGTTCAGCTGCCAGGTCCGTGAGGGCTCTCGGGTGGTCCCAACGGCGGCACCTCAGGCAGTGCCTTGCGGCAGCGCCTCCTCGCTGCGCATGCTCCTCGCTCAGGGTCTGTCTCCCGGTGCTGCGGGTGCGCGGTGGGCAAGTCCCTTCCCCGGCGCCCTCCTGCCCCCGCTCGCCAGCCCGCTCTCCTCCCGCCGTCCCCGTCCTCGCCCGCRGCGCCTGAGCGAGCGAGGAGGTGCCGGCAGCCGCTCCCCCGCGCTGCGTCCACGGAGGCCGGGCACAATTGGCGCAAGGAGCAACGCGAGCTCGGCCACAGGCAAAGCAGAGCCGGCCGGCTCCGCGGGCGGGAGCCACGGGCCTTCGAAATGTAGCGGATCTCCTAAAGGTGAGCGATAGAGGCCTCAGGTACTATGACCAGAGAAGCTATGTTCAATAAAAATCCAAAATTACAGCCTTTGTGGTCACTGTCAAGTTGTCTCTAGAGAGAACTATTTCCACAAAAAAAAAAAAAAAAAAACCTCACTTTTATGCAAAACTTACTAGCAGTTTTAAAAATTTAAGTCACACTGGGAAACGCTGAAGATCAAAGCAGATTCCATCAATTACTTGCATGTTTGAGGAGAAGAGATAAGAAATAACTTTCAGGGTAGTTCAAAAAGAGCTAGAGAATTTGCATTTTAAAAAAAATTTATTTAGCTATCGGTTGCTCTTAAATTTAATTACAAAAATTAAAAAGAGCACTCAGTGCACTGACACGCTACTCGTTACTCCTGAAGCTCTTTTAAGACGCAAGGTGGCTCCTTCGAGATAAGACAGCTCAGCATGATCCGAACTCAACTATCCATTTTTCGTATTTCTCAATGTCCGCCGCAGACACCGATTTAGAAACCTTCCTCAAAGCCATTTCGAAGTCTTCCATGGTGGTGGGCATGTGCATCTCGTCTCGGGAGAGGTTCCGGATCTCCTCGGGCGTGAGGCCCTCGATGCGCCTCCTCATGGCCATGAGCGAGGCGTCTCTGGCGGGAGCAGCACAGAGTTACGGGGCGCGGGAGGGCGGCCCGGCAGCAACGCTGTGCTCTGCGAGGGCCGCCGCGACGCGGGGAGCCGCRGCAGGACGGGGCTCCAGCGCCCACCTCCGCTCGGCGCCCTGCTCCCGCCTCGGGAACRCTAAGCGTCCCGCCGGCGCACGGCCTCGCCGCTGCCTGGAGCTCGGCGAGCGCGCTCGCATCTCCAGTGCCGGCAGCAGCCGGGCACGGGCTCAGCTGAGCGCTCGGTGCACGCGGTAACACGGAAACGCTGCGGCTCACCCTGTTTTACTACTATATAGTTTACRACTGTCAGAAAGCACAACTAATTTTGTTTCGCAGCACAAATCCATGGGGGAAACCACGCTGTGCTATAGCATAAAGCGAGGCCATAGTCTCCTCAGCAGGTGAGGGTCCAAGGCAGCAAAGAGCGGTCCCTTTGGGGAAAGAGAGGCCAGAAGCAAGTGCTGTGGCCACAGGTACCAGCCTGGCGGKCAGGGCTGAGCTTCCTCCTGCAGGGAGAGAGCTCCCACTCCGGGTGTCACCAGAAGAGAGGCAAAGCAAGGAGGCCCGTGCCAAGGGGCAGCCCCACCAGGGGCACCGCGGGGCAGGCGGACACACACACCGTGTCTGCCACAGTCACTGAACCAAAGGGGTCACGGCCAGCCGGGGGTCCACCTGTGGCCAGGCAGAGCCCGGGGTGGCTTCCTAGCAGGCTCTACAGTGGAACATCTGGAGGAAACCCAGGACTTTCCCCAACACGACTTTTTACAGGAGGGACTTGTAGCTCATTCTCCTGACAGAGGAGCTCATCTCTCTCTCTCTCCTACCCACGTCTTCAGGGAGAGCTGCATGAGGAACTTACRCTACTTGTGGAAACCCTTGCAAAGAGCATTTCAGCTTATTCTGTTTCAAGTATCCCCCAGGGACAAGGCGACTCACGGCCYGTGCCATGAATTCACCAAGAAACCTGTGGCAATTCGAAAGCAGAACGCAGTAACTGGAGGCAGACACTTCAGTACAACATTAAAGTGAACGGCCTTGCTAAACTTTGCCTTAGCATTTATGAACTGAAAGCTGATGTTAAACAATATGCAGGGGGGAAAAAAATCCACACACCTAACTTGTGCTTCCTTTTGGTAAACTGGCAGCTGGAGACAGCTGCCACTTCCTTCAGCGCAGTCATCTGCTGACAGTCGTGGCAGCTTTGGCTGTTAGTGCTCTCCAGATGCACCCTTTGTGTCTGGAGAAGCACCAAAACTACAGGCAAAAGTAGGAAAGCCTCCMCGGCAGCGAAAGCTCCACAGCAAAGCCCATCCGAGCCTCCCTTCCTGCCCAGGACAGGGGCAAGCCAGTTTACACTGACATCTAACAAGCAATTCAGTCATATTCTACATTTCCTGAGTATGTCCCCCTTTCTCTTCTTTATTTGCAGYCCCATTGCCATCTTTCCTGTTTATCTGCTGCCTGCCAATAACTGCACTGTTACCTCCGCCTCTTTTTCACTCTGGCCCAGCAAACCTAATATTGTAGCTCAAATGCTTGACRATAGCAGGGTAATCTGAGCCAAACAGAGCTCTTGGCTCACCCCCTCCCTAGCTCCTGCCTCTGCCACTACTAAGTACTATGAAGTTCTACAAGTTTGTTCTACAACTCGGGTAAAGTCTGTATATTATAGTGCCAAGTTGCACAGGAGCACTTTTGTATCAGCCACGCATCTTTTGTCTCAGTATAGATGCAAGTCTCATCTAGAAGAGACACTGTCCCCAACATCATCAACAMGGCAGAGCAAATAAAAGTACTCAAATTAGCCTGTGTACCTACAAGTCACGCTCATCCAGACAACAGTTTGTCTGGATTTCTAGTCCCTACCACCTGGGTCATCAATATAGATATATCTTTTTAAATGATCTTTCATTTGTCCCAAAACACTTTGATAAAAAAAAYAAAGAGCAACAATACACATACAAATAAAATTCACTCAAAAATGTTACAAATACTGGCTTTTAAGCAAGGGCATTAGTATCAAGTCCAGTAGTAATTACAAACAGCAAACAGACCAGTGAAGACAAACTGCAGCTAAAATGCACAAAGCAACAGGCCAGCTAAATGTGAACCTATTCCCACAAAGTCCCTTCAAAGCATAAAGAACACCTAAGCAAAGGCTAAGCAAAAAAGCACCACAAATTCATCT